ATAATAATTCAAATGAATGGGCATTTAATAATTGAAATTTGTATTCTTCATAAAAACAACAAAAATAAAATCTTTATATATCTCTCGAAATCTCATAAATAATATATATTTATAGAATTTTCCATTCATTCTCGAGGGTTTATAGATCTTAGAACTTTTCTTTCATATTAAATAAGGAATTTTTTAAAACTCCTTTGAAACAGTCGTTTCTGTCATGTTTTAGAACGATTCTTACGTTAATTCATTAAGACCATATAACTTTTTATACAAAATGGTATAATATTGTTTTAGTTGAGTCGAAGATTACAAAACTTTTACTTGCATCTCTTATAACCCATTGTTCGATTTTGCATGCTCATCTCCCAAAATGCAGAGAGACTTTCAACTACAGATCCGAGTTGGTCGTTCTAAAGAGCAACTAGAGAGACCGACGAAGTGAAATAAAATTTTTACCATTTGTTATAAACATTATAGTGTGAATAATCATTTACCTTTTTTTTGTTCCAAAGTATAATGATTGACCGTTTCATACTTTAAAATAACATCATATCGTGTCATGTAAAAACTTCATAAAATCCGTGTTCATCATTTCTATTTTAACATCATCATACACTTCCCTCACCCAACAATGAAACAAAATAAAGTATACATTTTTTACATACCCGAAAAAAAATATATATATATCATCTTTGTCTCGTCATTTTCAAATATAATGAGAACGGTATAAATTCAAAAGTTCAATAACTATTTCTTTTCATTCAAATTAAAAAAATCGACATAAACGACAGTAAATAGTTAAAAGTTGAGTGAGATCTCATGTCTGTTGGAGAGAGAAACAAAACATTCTTTGTACAAGTGTGGAAACCTCTCTCTAGTCGACACGTTTTAAAACCTTGAGAAGAACCTTGAAAGGGAAAGCCTAAAGAGGATAATATCGGTTGGCGGTGGGCTTGGGCTATTATAAATGATATCAGACCCAGACATCGAACGTGTATCAGTAAGGACGTTGGGCCCCAAGGGGGTGGATTGTGAGATCCCACATCGATTACAGAGAGGAACAAAACATTCTTTATAAGGGTGCGACAACTTCTCCCAAGTAGATGAGTTTTAAACTTAGAGAAAGCTCGAAAAAGAAAACCTAAATAAGACAATATCTGGCAGTGGATTTAGGTTGTTACCGACTATGTTTTTTTTTCTTCATAAATGCTCGGCTATGACAGGTCGGATAGAAAAATAAATGATAAATCATAATAAAGCAAAGAGAATTAAATTAATGGGAAGGTAGTTAGGGTAAAATGAGAGAATATTAATAATCAAGATATATCAATGCTCTCAATCATTCTCATATATCAATGCTCATATGACTTATGGGAGTCATGGTGATTATAATATATGTTCACTTTCTTTCTCTCATCTTATTATTATTATTATTATTATTATTATTATGTATATCATATCGACCCCACGTTGATGGGAGAGGAGAATGAAACATTCCGGTGTGAAAACCTCTCTTTAGTAGAAGCGTTTTAAAATCTTGAGGGGAAGCCCATGAGGATAACATCTGCTTGCAATGGGCGTTGTTACGTTTTTAGTCATCTAAATTGGAGTGTTCATGAGTTAGATTGAACGGTGATTAAATATTATTTTTAAATTCAACTCAATTGCTCGAGTTGTAATTTTTTTTTTATCTCAAATAAATCTTATTAAATAACGAACTCAACTCAAATAAATTTATAATCTAACCCAAATCATTATATTTTTAAATGTTAGAATCCAGTATAGTTGATGAGTGGATAAAACATTAATTATCACTACAAATGTTGGATGTTTCGTCTAGTCAATTTTGCACCCGTTGAATTTAAAAGAAAAGAAAAGGACTGGACACGTAGCATATTCAACATTGTCAAATTAATAAATATATGAAACATGACATTAATTGTATTTAATAATAAGTAAATATATAAAATTATTTTAGCACGATTTGGAGTAAAAAGGGTACAATCAGGTGCGACCAATCTTAGCAGTCAGTGAGTAAGAGCGGTGACAATTCAACGCTTTTGGACCCTATTGTTGTACAGTCAACTAGAGATGACTGACGATTGGTCATCTCAATTTCCATCTTTAAATTAATAAAAAAAACATCAAATTTAAATCTCATCTAAAATATCCAACATTATTTCATCTAATAATTTAAAAATTGTCACCCATCGTTCCCCAAATAAATAAATTTCTTATGACATCAAATTATATCCAACTCAATTAAGACGTTACATAAAATTTCCGTCACCAATTGTGATGTTCGAGAGAGAAGAACAAACCACCATTTACAAGGGTGTGGAAATCTTCCCCTAGCAGACGAGTTTTAAAGACTCGAGGAAATGATAGGTGCGGTTAAACTTTAAATATATAATAAATTAATTTTAATTTCTTAAACTTTTATTAAAAATATCTACCCAATTTTTAATTTTGGGTTTAATTGATATTGATATTGATAATTAATACAGGGTGGGAGTGGGGTCCACTAAACTTGTGGGACCCGGAATGGATGGCGTGGACATGGAGGGGAATTGGATTGGATGAGAATTAATATTGTCAACCAATATAATGTTGCCTAGTCACCATCCTTCACGTGAGTGTGCCATTTTTAATGTGGACCCCATCATCTCCCTTCCAAGAAAATACCATTAATTTTTTTTTTTTAATTCATAAATTCAAATTTATTTTCTTTTTTTCTCCCAAAATTCCAAACTTTGGTCTTCACATTTTCAATTACGTTACATCCCACGTGGCATTCGTCATTCAAGCTTATATTATATTTTCAATCATTTATTAAGATATTCGTGGAATAAGATAATATATTATCTCGCCACCTTTATATGATATAAAATTTAATTTTTTTTATATGATATAAAAAAATCTATATATATTTCCTTTTAATGGGATATTTTGTAAATTTTCGTTGTTGTTATTATTAAAAGTATTTAATTTTTTATTTGTTTACATTATTCACGAAAATATATATATTTAAGGAATCTATAATGTAGATAGAGATAAGATTATGTTTGGTTTTCTTCTATTTTAATTTATTGGACAATGACATAAAAATACATTCCACCATCCATCTAGGCTCCACGTCTTGTTCTAAAGAATATTTATTTCATGTCACGTCTTGAACTAATTTTAATTTTTTAATTAAAAATATTCCTTATTATGTGCTAAAAGAAAAAAAATAAAAACATCAACGTATTTTTGTGAACTTTAAGAAAAAATAAAGTAAATATTAAATTTAAATTAAAAATATATATTATATTTGAAATTTAAAGATTAAATAAAAATTATGTTTTTCGATGATAATAAGAATATTGTTGGTGTTGCAAAAAGTAGAAGCAAATATATTCGTTTTGGTTGAAAATTGAAAAGAATTGAGGAGGAACAGACAATCTTAAAGTGGTGGGAAAAATGTGAGAGTAGGAATGTATTGGATCTCATTTTCATCATAATTAATACGAACACTAAATAATGCAATATGCAACGCGCGTCGGGTGGCCTCAACATTCTTCTGTTACGTGGGTCATGTTACTTGTTCCTCGTTTATTGAGAGTGAACACTATTCCTATATTACCAACACGGGTTTCGAATGAGCATCGATATTCTCCTATGATATGGTCACGTCACCTACTCCTCGCTTCTTAACCGTGAAAGCTATCCCCACAAATCAACACGAGTCATTCTAAGATTGCTTCAAGTAAAGTACGTTTAATCATGAAATTTCTATGATTGAACCATGAAAAAGAAATGTGCGTCTGGTTGGTATAGGTAGTGATGTTCATATTGTTTAAGCGTTTTTTAGCTATCATGTCTTTAAAATTGCTCTCATTCAGATTTAGTTTCGGTTTATTCATGTATCTTTCATTTATTTCGAGTGTCGATTTTTATTCGAAAATAGAGAGGAGCCAAGTGGATGTCCAATTCCATATATCTCTTCTTATTTATTCAACTTGGATTTCAATGGAATCTTTGAGTATCTCCATTTACTCTTCTATGTAGGTTGGTCAACAAGCATGCTCATATTATTATTCATTACATGACCATACATTATTTCATGGTACATTTATTAATTTCATGTATGGTCTATAGATTAACAGTTCTATAATGAAAACTCTCGAGAGGTTACTCAGTATAGAATTACTTCAAGCAAAGCATACTTAATTTTGGAGTTTTCATAATTAAGCTACAAAAAAACGAAGGTGGATTTTGTTAGTACAGATAATAACTTTTGATTTTTTTAATCGTTCTAATGAGATCCTGTATCAATTAGAGAGGGAAACAGAGCATTTCTTATAAGGGTGTGGAAACATTTCCCTAATAGACATGTTTTAAAACCGTGAGGTTGATGGTAATACGCAACGAGTCAAAGCGAACAATATCTACTAGCAGTGGAATTTGGTCGTTACAAATGGTATCAAAGCCAGACACGGGCGGTATGCTAGTGAGGACGCAGGCCCCCAAGAAAGTAGATTGTGAGATCCTACGACGATTGTAGAGGGAAACAAAACATTTTCTTACAAGGGTGTGGAACCTCTCCATAATAGATGCGTTTTAAAATCGTGAGATTAACGACGATACGTAATGGACCAAAACGAACAATATCTGCTAGCAGTAGACTAAATAGCATGAGAGACACATTGACGACATACCAACGAGAACACTAGCTCTAAGGAGGCGAAGGTTTAGGCACCACGAAGCACGAAGCATGTCATTATTTGAAAGGTGGAAAGAAGAAAGACAAATAGCTTCAAGTTCCAATGTGTACGGTCTATATGTGTAGGGACTCCATATATATATATATTATAGAGAAAGGGAAGAGCACGACGAAGTGTCGGAGGGAGTGGGGCGGTACACGGCGGCGCCGTACATCAAGGGGGACAATCTGATCTGATCTGAACTGATAATAATGATGAGGATAGATGCATGCAATAATGAGATGGGACAGGTTGTGGGAGATGAACTGATTGAGAACTCTAAGTGCCTGCTGCCTCTGTTCATGATCTTCGTTTTCGACGTCGGATTTGATTCGAAGACTTCGTGATGGGCTTCTCTTCATTTCCAATCAATCAAGCTCTCTCAGTGCATTTTAATGGCTTCTCTCCGTTTCGCCCTCTTTCTCGGTCTCTTTGATTTGATTCTCACCAACCCAATTTATCTCAAAAGTCATTTGCATTTGCTGTCAAACTCATACTCATAAAACACAAAATGGGAAACTTATTCTATAGAAATGGAGGCCTTACACATAATCAAACTACAGTCGTATGGCACCGCCACCAGGTTCGTCGGTCTATTTGTTCAGCAGCGTAGCTACATACATTATCATCGAGCGAACCTCGAGCTGTAGATCAAAGTAGTTTGAATGAATGTCAATATAATTCTAGTTTTACAAAAGAACGAAGCATTGGTTATAAGGAGATGGAAACCTCTTCCTACTAGACACGTTTTAAAACTTTGTGGGCAAGCCCGAAAAGGATCTGCTAGTGGTGGGTTTGGGGTTATTATAAATGATATCAGAGCCAAACACCAGTCGATGTGCTAGCGAGGACACTGTCCCCCCAAGAAGGGTGGATTGTGAGATCCCACATCGATTGGAGAAAAAAACGAAACATTGCTTATAAGGGTGTGGAAACCTCTCCCTACTAGACGCTTTTTAAAACAGCACAAAAAGGAAAGCCCGGCTAGTGGTGGGCTTAGGCTGTTACGCGTTGACAAAGCTCGTTTCGTTTCTAGTTATGTTCGTGACAAGGTTAAATCGACTGTATAGTGGAGAAAATACAAGATTCAACCAGGAAAAAGTTAGTAGTTGAAATGACTAACCATTATTGTTATTTGTAGCAGAAGGGTCCTTGGAATCCATACTCATTGAGCCTTCAAATTGAGTATCAAACACAACTCAGAATAAGCATGGAAAGGCAGTGTTAGCCCTTCAAACAATCACATTTGTATGCCAACCGCGACATCTTGTTGCACGAACCGCCTCCACAGTCGACCCATCGACAAGCTATACAGCAACAAGAAAGACATCAAGTAAATAAGCTTTCATATTCACCAAAAACATAGGATTGGTCATTACAAACGAATATCGATTCATTAGTTCTTGGTTAAGTCTGTACGCCCGATGGAGGGGTCGAAAAGCACCGGTGAGTCAGATTACGTGGCATCAACGGTAAAAATCTAATGCCTATCAGCATTGTTCAAAGCAGTGAGATGTTCAATTCTAGCACCATCAGATATATGAACATAATAATAAAGATCAAGACCCATAAAACCTTGAATATGATGAAATATGTACTCATCCAAATAAGTTAAATCCAACAGGGCCTTTATCATCTGCACATTGAGTTTCGAAGACATCTTGGTTCATAGCTGCAACCTTAGCTATAAGCATTGTTGATGTGTTTCATATCTTCGGCCAACTTCACCGTTAAATTTTCGTGTCGCCTATAACCACAATCTTGTCTGACCATCACGTAATACCGATTTTGAAATGGGTAGTCTAAGATTAGAATTCAAATGTTTAGTATTCATATAAATTTAGAACTTTTTTCTTTCAAATGAAGCACAATGTCACGGTTATGTTTGTCCAAGGTGTGTTGCCTATGGCCACATGCTCGTTACATGCCAAAACCCTAGCCTCGTATTACTTTATCGCTTTCCTTTACTACTTTCATAATGTACAATTTCCTTCTTGTCTTTTCTAAGTGTATGACGTTTCGGCATAATCATATCTACGCCTGGTAGACATGAAATACCCTAGAATGTACTAGAAAAATGCGACCAATCGTCAACTTCTCCCACCTAGATTTTGTATGACCGTTCAGCAAAATCACGTCTAGGCCTACCCGACTTGAATTGCCTCCAAATGTATCATCTGCACTAGTGGTCAAATTCTCCCTATCCAGAAAGTTATATGTTATTAAAGCGGTTGTATTGTCTTTTGCTTGTAGTCATGTAACATTGTTTTCAATATCTCTCTGGCCCATTTTCTCAAAATGGGGCCAAAAGCTTGAGCATACATTGCTCGACCATAGGCGACACAATCCTAAGTTGGCTTGACTCACTCAGTACCGAGAGTGAGTGCCGCACAATCGCCAAATCCGCTGCCAAGAAAAGTGCGATTGTGACGGCCTAAATCTACATCTTACAAGACACCTCTGCAGTAACTTTTGGCAAATACATTCATCAACCAAAAAACAAGTCCCATTTGGCAGAATCAAACAGCTATGAATTGCAGCAAGCAGATGAAATAGCAACTATGGCTAAAAACACAGCTATTTTTCACAGAAAAGCTTCATAGGAGATAGAGAAAGAGAAAGGAATCTTCCATTTGGGTATAATGAAGAGGAGAAACTTGGAAGCAGTCACTATCATCATGATCAGAAAGAGCCTGCTTCCGCCCAGAACTGCTATCACATTCAAACAAGAAACTCCCATTACTAGAATCTTTACAGGTTTCTCATCCATAGTTCACTTCCTTGCAGACATTTTCAGCCATTATCAATTCAATCAAAACAAGAACAAACACTCTGTCCTTTCCAATCAAGTTATCAAAAAAAGTTACCAATCCATTTCTGCAAAAGCCACAGAATAAAAAGGTGTATAAGAACAGAAATCATTAGCGTGAACAGCGATGGGTGAAGGCAGAACCCTTCAACGATCACAAAACAGAGAAATGGCCATCTGGGGTTTCGTGATCGGACTTCAACATGGCTTTATCGTTGGCGGGCCTAGCAAATTGCATCTCCATTTCTGTATTAGTGAATTAAGAAACTTTGAAGCAAGAAGAAGAAGAAGCCTCTTGATTCTTCTTAAATGGGCCTCTCTCTCAATCTAGCTACCTAACCTTCTCATTTTTTAGGGTAACCATTGGGTTCGTGAGATCTCACGTACGTTGGAGAGAGGAACAAAATATTAGCTAAATGTGTGAAAACCTCTCTCTCTCGTAGACACGTTTTAAAACTATGAGGCTAATAACAATATATAACGGAAAAAAACGGACAATATCTACTCCCATTAGGCTAGAGCTATTACAAATGACATTAGAGCCGGACACTGGGTGGTGTATTAGGAAGGATACTGACCTGTTTTGTAAGAATGTGAAAACTTCTCCTAATAGAACTGTTTTTAAACTGTGAGACTAACAATTATATTTAATGGGCTAGAGCGGACAATATCTACCGGCTGTATAAAAAAAATCATTTATTGAAAAGTTTGTTATTTATTTTTAAACATTTAATTATATATACATCTTAAGCAAAAATATATTTTTTAGAAATCAAAGCAATAAATTCAAGTTGGTTCGGTTCAAACCAATCTAGTCTTAGGGATACCTATGAGCTAACTCAATTTCTAAATTTTATTTGAACTCAACGCCACTCAATCTAAATAAGTTTTTAGTTCAACCGTACAGATCAAATTGAGTTGATTTAATTTTTGTCGGTTCATCGAATTTTATAATACGTGTATTTAGAGACCGACGCACGTGGGTTGAATATTAATTACATGAAATTGAGAATAATGAAAAAAAGAAATTGGAATGAGTGAGGGTTGGAGACAAAATGGAGAAAGGAATCAAAGGATATGAAGTTAACATTCTTCAACCGACAAATCTTTCATTCACATGCAAAGAAATGGCGTTATGGCCCCCCATGAGGGCTGCATTTCAACTAAAATAAGTGAATTTTTTTAATCATCCTAAACCCTATTTTCCCACCCTATAATCAAACTTGATTAGGATGTTAGATCCTATGCTTCTCGTTTAAGACAACCCGCTTCTCCGAACTCCTTGTTGATCGAGTATCTCAAGGCAAGAACACTTGTTTGAGATTCGTATCATTCCACAATCAAGATCGATCGCATGCAACCTATACTATATAGAATTGCAAAGAAACGTAGCTACTGGTTATAAGTTTTACTGCATTTTTTAAGTATACTTTATTTAGCTTCAAAATGAAAATTCTTGACCTTTCACGAGGCATTTCAGAAGTTGTAACTGTCGAACACATCTCTCCGTGGGAAACACTCGCACACTTTATTAAGACCAATCAAGAAAGATTTACAAAAACACTCTGTAGAAACTACTATTGCTTGGGATTTCTTGGGATAATGAACTAAGTAGGGTGGAGGTATTTATACCATAGTCAATCTATTCCTAAAATCTATCCGTGTTTTCGTAAAATACTAAACCATTCTCTTAAATTTATTTCAAAAATCCCTGAATCATTTTCCTAAAATTATTCCTAAAATCCTAAATCATGTTCTTAACGTAAATATAGTCACTCATAAAATCATTTTCTTAACGTAAATATAGTCACTCATATCGTGGTTAGGCTTAACCCTATTGGGTTAGTGATGATATTTTGACAGTAACCTTCATGTTTTATAATATAATCGGTCACTACGCGAATGTAACCTTAAAAGAAATAAAAAAAAAATACTTATGAGGGCACTCATGTCTAAAGTGGATATTACAACACCGTTGCGAAGATATGTAGAGATTTTAGTCTCGGGATCAGTTTAAGAGGGTTTAAATATGTGATTAGGAGGGGGGAAGTGATTAAGGAATTATAAACAAGACTAAGTTAAGAAAGAAAGAAGAGAGGATGGGATTGGAGTGGTTGAGTTGAATAGAGAAATGATTTATAGATTGGAAAGAAGTGAAGAATAAGACAAAGAGAAATGGAGACAAAAACTAAATAAAAACATTACAACAAGTGAACAACCCATGTGAGTGAAAATTTTAAAATATATTTAAAAATAAAAATAATAATTTGTAATGGCTATGGGCACCATTTTATGCCACATCACATTGTTCCATTTTCTACCAAACACTTTGACTCTCTCTCTCTATATCATAGATTATGGTAGACGGAGGTGTGGTAGTGTTCGAGTTTCAATTGCCTGAAGTGCACGTGTACGAGTATGAAAATTAAGATTTGAAACGTGTGTGGTAGTGTTCGAGTTCTGATTATCTGAGGTGCACGTACATGAGCATGAAAATTGAGATTTGGAAAGGGTGTGATAGTGTATGAGTTCCAACTGTTTGAGATGCACGTGCACGAGCATGAAAGTTAAGATTTGAAAAGGGTGTGGTAGTGTTCAAGTTCTAACTGTTTGAGATGCACGTGCACGAGCATGAAAGTTGAGGTTTGGGACAAGTGTAGTAGTGTCTGAGCTCCACGGACACAAAAATGAAAATCGAGATTCAGAACAGGTGTGATAGTGTTCTAAGTTCCAACTTTCATATCCGGTTACTGTCATACTATTTCAGATCTCAGTTTCTATCTAACTGGTATTTATGGAAGATAAAGCAAAGGACAGAGTTTAAGGATG